AGAAAAGCGTGAGTGTGGTATTCGTGTGACTGATCTGGCCTCGGAGTACAAGATGGCGAAGTCGACAATCTCGACTTTTTTGAAGAATAAAGATGGTTAAAAAAAAATACATATGGTTCAGAACAGATTAACCTTATTTACATCGAACCTTATGGGAAAATTTGATTTGGTTGGTGACCAAAATCAGTTGGCGACCACATTCGTAGGGGTCAGAACGGATTAACCTTATTTACATCAAACCTTATGGGGAAATTTGATTCAGTTCGCGACCAATTCGGCTCACGACCAGAATTGTGGAACGAATTAAGTTCATGAACCGAGGTACCACTGTATAGGGTTTTACATTTGTATCCTGCCTTTCTTCTGGGTCTCAAGAGGATGTGTATAATTCTCACACCACACACACAGACAGACAGGACCGACTTATCCATTAGGCACCAGAGGCACAGTGCCTAGGGTCGATGAAAACATTTTCATTTCTTTTTTAATCGGAAAGAATAAAAATGATGGAGAGGTTATTGACTTGGATGCCTTTTACTAAACATGTCTTTATTTTCAGGCCTTTTAATAAAAAGCAGGCAAAAAAGGCACAATATTTGAACCGCAAACTGATGATCGTATTTGTAACCTATAGCTGTAGCATGAATACTAAAATTCAGCAACTTTGAGGATATACCACAGACATAATGACTAATCCGCAACAAATGATTATTATTACCAAAAAAAATACATATATTATTTACTATTTATTATTTCTCTGAAGAAATATGAAGAAAATTTTGAAAATCAGATGAAATACAATTTTTAATATTATCATTTTTATGGAGGGAAGGGCCCACGAAGACGAAAGTACCAGCGCTGACAAAATTATGCAGCCCTGCACACTTTCACCCCCACAACTTCCCTGTCAGGCACATTAAGTCAAAATTCTTCCTGGAGTCACACAAATAAATTTGGGCTAACTAAGCAAAAATGGCTTTGTATTCCCGACACGCCAGGCCCAAACAATATTTATTAGATTTTTACCCTGCTTTTATAAAGAAACTCAATGCGGCTTACAGGATGCTCTTTCCCCTTTTTCCTTACTCCAACCCTGTAAAGTAGGTTGGGTTCAGAGAGTGGGATTGGCCCAAAGTCACCCAGCTACCTTTTGTGGTTGAGGCTGAACTATGATGTCCCCAGTCTTAGTCCAACACCTTCACCGCATACACCACCCGGGTTTTAACACGATGGACGTGATTTCCCACCATGTAGAGAACTCACTGCTAAAATTCACCCAGAATAGGACCAAATTTTGGCAGTGTGATTTTGGCTTCTTTTTCAGCTTTCCCCAAAGGTTTAAAGTTGGAGAAAAGCAACAAATTTCTTCATGGAGGTTCTCTACTTCCATCTCTACCCTTAAAATTTTCAAAATGCCCCACAAAAAATGGACATTTTTGACCACGGTCCTTTTGATGACGTCACAACATCCCAGAGGCTTCTTGCTTATTTTTTTTTTTTAATGTTTTTTTTATTTTTACAAC